ATACAACCTAACTAATATGTAGATAATTAATTCCTTTAAACGTGATATGAATAATATGAATATACACAATTAATATGGATATACACGGATAACATGACTAAAATAATAAATAAATATCTATTTACAAGTATAATTAACCAAATAAGACTAAGAATTAAATAATCGAGGATACTAAACACTAAACATAGCTTATTGCACATTTATATAATGTAAAATACATGACTCCAAGTTCAAGTCTCCAACCTCCATAAGTGATGTTCCACTAAAGACATTAAACAATAACTTACATAATAAGATAATAGTACTTTCAATCCATTTCATACTTTATAATATTTATTTAAAATAGTAAAATAATTCAAAAATATCCAAATCATGTGTTGTTTAAAATGATTCACAAATGTACTCCATTATATATATTTAACATAATGTCTTAAATTAACAAAATACTAGATAATATATATTTAAAATAGTAAAATAATAATTATAATTATTTAGAGCACATTGTTTTTTTAATTTCAAAATAATAATCTTTTATCTTGACTTTTGTAAATGATTTAAAATAATCTCTTATCATGATTTTATGTTATTAAAATGATTATATAGTTTCTTATCATTATATTTATTATTTAGAATAATTTATCAGTATAATCTCTTATTATATATATTTATGTGATTTGGATTTGCTTTATTAGTGACAATAATGTTTGATGTTATTTGTTATTAATAATTAAGTATATATTTTCTTTCTCAAAATTTTTAAATAATTTTTTAATTTTATTATAAAAAGTTACAAAGCACAATATATATTCAATATGTTAAAATTTATATATATTTGATATATACATTACTAATATAAAAATAATAAATGTATACTTTAACGCCAACAAATCCAAAATAATGAGCTACTCAAGGATAAAAAATAAATTACTAAATAATGACCTATAGTATTAATATTATTATTTATATTGTACTTATATTATTAAAATCAAAAGTAATTTCATATTAATTATTAAATAAAAATCATAATTAAATGCTTCAAAAATTCTTTATATGATTATATTGAATGGGTAATTAGATATCATGATTAAAAAATTAAAAAATAAAATAATCATTATATATTTATATTAAATTAAAATAAATATAAAAATATGTTAAACGCATACTCGTGTGATAGTTTAATTAAATGTATTTTTCATGTTATGTTACGTGTTAAATATATTCACATGATATATTTTATTTAAATGTGTTTTTCATATCTTGCACATGTTTGATTTATATCAATATGTGTAAAGCACGAATAACATCATATTGAAATTAATATCGGTATGAATAAATATGAAACTGTCTTTTTTAAACCCATATACAATTCTTTTTGTGTTATTTTAATATTATATTATCATATCTTATTTAAAATTAATAAGTCTAATTTCACCATCTTGTCCTCTTGTCTTCCTTATTTAAGCTGTTTTAGGTTCATAAATTGTATCTTTTAAAAATAATTATGAAATTATTGACTAATGTTATAATTACTTTAACTTCTTTTTTCCAATAAAAATGAAAAAAAAAAAAAAACTACTTAAGATGTAAGAACTTTTCTTTTAATAAGATGATCACTTTTTTTTTTTTGCTTATAATCTAAAAAGCAAAAAGAAAAGAAAGAGAGAGACATTTGAGCTTGACTTACTCTTTCATTTTGCATTTGAGTGCACGTCAAGGAAGTGTATGTATTGCCGACATCCATGTTGAAATCAAACAATCATGATTGTATGATTGTTTTATGAGTAAGTATCATCTTCTTCAACACAAAAAATTACATATTCAGATATAATTTGTTTTTCTTCCCACTTCATTTTAATAACAATGGATGCTGATTTCTTAGTTGTAATGCAAAATTTCAAGTTGCCTCAAGAAGTGAAAATATAAATTGGCAAATCAATTCATCCTTATGTATTATTTAGAAATTACAATGAATGTTTAAAAAGTTGTGTTCATACCATTAATTCTAGAACAAGCATCTTAGAAGGACAAAATATGTTTAATTTCCAATTTAATTTTAAGATTCCTTAAACTTTATCACTTTATTTAAATAAGTTTTTATATTTTTATTTTATTCAAATATTTTTTTACTTGTATCCAAATACTTTTATTTCAAATAAAAAATTAATTTATATTAATGACTTATTTAGGTATAAATTTAAAATTAAAAGTTTATTTAAATACAAGTAAAATTTAAAATTTTATTTGAATACGAAGTAAAGATTAAAAATTTATTTGAATGTAATAAAAAAATAAAATTTTTTGAAATAAAGTAGTAAAATTTATGAGTTTTTTATTATTTTTTAAATAAAATGGAATGAGAAGTTTTTTTTTTATTATTGCTTTTTTGGTTAAAATAAAAAAATAAATAAAAGAGCAGCTAAGAGATATATAAATGGCTAAATCGTACAGTGTGGGCAATCTTTTATGAAAATAATTTTATAATGGAAGCAAAAAAGAAAGCGCATCCAATGCCTCCCTTCTTTCTTTTCTTTTAACGAAATTTCTCCAACGAATGGCAGACCCTAAATTCAAGACAAAGAAGAGCTGTCAACTTCGTAACCCCCACAAACAAATCCCTCCCTTTTTTATTTTTAACACTACTTAGTTTCATACTAAGAACCATTGATATTCCATACATGCCCCACCACCTACTATTTTCTTTTTAATAATTCAATATTTTCTTCACCTTCTCAAGCAATCAAAGCTTAGCTAAGTTTAATACCAAAACCCAACTTAGCTGCTAATCATCTAATTAATCGTATCCTTAATACTACTCCTCTATCCTCAATACTATATATAAATACATCAACTGGTTTTTTTTTTTTATTACTTTTTCGTTTGATTGGTTGCTGGGGGTTCTTGTCATTTATAATATTGATAATATATAATAATCGTTTGATTTATTAATAAAATATTATATTTTTAATTTTGAATAAATATTACTTAAATATATACATGTTAGTACCATTTTTTTATTTGAATTATTCTTCTTTTTTTTATTAGGAGAAATTCCATTGTCATTTGTAAATACTAATTCTTTGTTGATTGGAGCTGCTTCCAATCCCTAAAATGCAGTATCCCATGATGTTCAGAAATCGAGAAATATATTAAAAATATGGTGAGCATATCTGTTTTCATGCTAACATTATTGATTTGTTTCCCTTCAAAGCCAAATATGTGAGCTTGTTCTACCTATGCAATGAAATAGTCAAGTCAAATAGCTACTGAAAAACTAAGGTTTGTTGAGTTTTAGAAGGACAAAAGAATCCAATTGTTTTGAAACCGAAATGGATTTATTGTCAAATTTTCAAAGAATAAGAAATAGGTTTTTTTTTTCCCTTAAAATTTCCCTTCTGCTAATAAGTTTTACAATGGAGAGTGAAATACCAAACGATAACAAAAATAAATAAAAATCCATTACTACTACTAGACTTGCCTGGGGCTCACAGGAAGACTGACAGGCAGTACAAAATTTAAGTAAAAAAAAAAAAAGGATTATAATGCAAGTGCCATGAGTGGTGCATGATCTTTGTTGAAAAGCATTGATGGTTGTATATTATGAGGGTGTGTCCTATACATTTGTAGATTTATGACCCCCCACCAACCTTCCATACTCTAATCAGTGTTCCCATCCTGATGTTGACCAAAAGTCAAGAAAGCTTTGTAGTAAGTCTTCGATTTTGGATGAAGCCCTCTAGGGCCAAAAAAAAGATCCTACTATTTTAAATCCCATTTTTAACACTAATTAATTAATAATTATAAAATATTATCATATTCATTGAATTAAAAATTTTTTATTTCACAGACAAATTTAAATAAATAATAAATTTTACTGTTAATATAATTATTTGATATACATGAAGAAATTCAGCTTCTACTTAATTAATGAACTTATTACTTACATATATATTCTAATGATAAAAGAATAATGACATCATGGGCTTAAATCAAAATTTAATTCAATTATCATAAATGAAGCTATGGCTACTTTATTCTATTTAACCTAAACCTTAGTCAACCAAATACAAATCACATTTTTTTTTTGTTATGAATTTGTAATGACAAGTTTTCAGCTGTAATTTTCTGTAGTGATAGAGCCTAGATAGATTTCCTAAAAATCCAAACCTATGTTAATAGGATCGTATAGATATTTTCATAGTGGGAGGTAGGCTTCGGCTTTTCTTAGTTTTCCCCTTTGATTGTGCGATGGAAAAATTATATCTATTACGGCCCCACTCTACCGTAGCCGTACGTGTAAGGCCCGGTAAGTTAAAATTTGGACCGTCCTTTGATGGGCCTCCCAAGTATTAATAACCCCACTTTTTTTTTGTTTTAAATCTAAAATTTAATTTAATATCGTATTAAAAAAAAATAAAACCACCTTTATTCTTATCTATCGCATCTACCGTAGTTACTTTATTTACCTGTGGGAAAGGAATTACACCTTGAATCCGTGTCACCTCAGTGTGGAACGCCTCATGCCATAATCTTTAATATGGTATATAAGTTATAAATATATTATTTAATATGATATTTATTTTTAATATATCTAATTTTAAATGATGACTGATTATAGATAAATATTTTTTAAAATATTATATTAGTTAAGAATTTATATTTCTTATATCATATTAAAATTTTTAAAGTTTAAATATTATATTAAATATTTATTTTAGATAAAAGATAATTGGTGACATTATTTTCTTTTTAAAAAAGAGAACAAGATAGATTAGACTAAAAATCAAATCTTTAAGACTTTTCGAATTCCTATTATTCCAATCCACTGCCACCATAGTGCATTTTCAAGCCGTCTGTCTCATCAATCAAATTTTGATGTTTACGCAAATCATAAATCCTTCCTAGGTTGGCAAACGTCAAATCCTGATTAAAACGTTGGACAGTCCAAGTAACTATCCTTAAACCTCTGGAGTGAACGAAGAAAAGCAACCATAAGACGGACGGAACGAAAAAACCAAAAAAGTATTTCACACCTTCGAAAGCAAAAGCATCGGTCTGCCATTTGTTCTAAAGGGTGGAATAGACCCATCAAAACAACAGACATATCACTTAAACTGTGTATCATGTAAAAAGAAATTAATCGTGTGATGTTACAGAAAGTGCTACCCGGAGATCATTTGAGGTTCCACGTATATACATCCGATATGTTTCTATTTCCGGTTGATAACCCCTGGGACTGCTGGCTGCGTAGTGACTACCACCAGCGTTTTCACGCATGGAAAAGATGATTTCCCTGAGGATCGGTTCATGGCCGTTGAGAAGATTGCCCATGCTTAAAACTTTTCTCCATGACTGATTAGCAGTGGGTGGCGTGAACATATTTGATACAACGTGTCTCTCATTAAGCCTGAGTTGCAGCTTCATGTCAAACTCCTAAACAAGAAGAATGTTTACGTAGAATGTAAGCTCAAGTCAATTGCGGGGCAGTTTCTAAGAGAGGGATGGGTAAAAGTTTTTATTAGAAAAAGTCAAATTGGAACTAAATTCAAGTTACTTCCTAATTTCAACCAATATGTGGTAGTAAATTGCAATATTGCTGAATATTTGCGACCTTTTTATTTTGATTTTAATCAGAAGCCCCAACCTAACATCAATTGGACTTTCCCAAGGAATAGCCCACTGAAAACAGTCCAACTAGAGCAGTGATTCACTAATATCCATGAACAAAACGAGGGATTAATCTGCTAGAATTCTAAAACTGAGATTCATGGCATTGAGGCTATTTACCTTCTGAACATCTACATCAGTTGAGCCCATTCCCATGGTTGGAAGGTAAAAGTTGTAGTAGTCACTGAAAATAGCTTCCGAGATGCGAGGCGCTTGTATGAATTTTCGATGAAGAGAAGCTGCAAGTGATAATAACTTCTCAACATGTTCAAAGACAATACAAAGCCGTCTGAGGTCTTCAATAGTCTCACTGTTGCCAGATGATAGATTCACTGCAACATACACGAGAACTTGAAATTTCAATGACCTCAATTTCAAGGAAGTGCAAACTCGTAAGAATGATGAAAAGTACCTTGCAAAGGCCTTAATGTAGACGCCATAGTACGGTAGAGTTGGTCCATTTTCGTGGTCATCTGCTTCAAGCTTCCGAACTTTGTTTGGTTTAGTGTGTCAGCTGATGCTCTGAAGGCAGTACAAATCATTTGCTCAAGCAGCTGATGGGGTCGCACGGTTTCCAGATAATGAAGGATCTGTAGAGTTTATGAAGCCATGAGGATCAAGCTTAATGTATCAAAGAAAAGCTATACCCAAGCTGCAAGGTTTGAGCAAAGTTTCAAGTCTGAATATTAGTTTACTATATAATCTGAAATCAAGCATTTAATCAATTGTTTCCAAGTAGTAAATCATGTCAGGTAATAACTCTATGCTATTGCCAGTTGGGTCTTTGAGATCACTGAAGAAATGCCCAAGTGAAGATGCGTTGGAACTAACTTCCTAAAAGTTTAAAATAGCTCTGCATCAGCTCCCGTGACATCATCAAAGCAGGAATTTGACAATTTTACAATACTGGGTATTTTTGCCTTGTTTAGTCTGGAGGAGAAGTCAACCTTCAGGTTTTAGCTACCAACAATTCAAATGCGTCTGTATATGGATCAGACTTAAATATTGTTGTCCAGGGTACTTCACAAGATAAGTGAACATTAAAAAAACTGTGACATTTGAGTGATAACCCTCTGCCCTTGGGAGCTCTATGTTGGCAAAAGATAGTTCAAACTCTTATAAAATCAAAGGAGATACCCTTCTCCGCAACAAGTCAAGGTAGGGGGAGGGGGAAGAAGAAATATGCAATAGTACTACAAGCAGAAATCATAATTGAAAAAAGAACGTTTGTTCTTCCCATGTCCAAGCTCACCTTCTCTCCTTCTCGGTTTGGATCCAGCAGTGGTTTCTGCTCATAAGCTGGCAAAATAGGAGCATCATTCCAAATCTTTCGCCACAAGTTCCCATGGTCAGACATTCTCTGTGAAAGTCGTCCTCGAGGAGGCCAGTCATCCTTCACATTCTCTGCAAGATTTTTGGACAGACCATTTGCTTCACTTTCATCATTCTCCCAATCTCTAGGTGAATGCCACCGGATAAAATCTTCAAAAACAGCATCAGGATTGGCAGCTTTAAAGGCTGACATATCTATTTCAAAATTTGAAGAATCATCAGTAAAGATGAGTAAACAAGAGAAAGACTAAACTAAGCACAGATTTGATACCTTAAGCATCATACTTATGAGAGAAAGCTGAAAGAAGGGCAAACAGAGAATGAAGAGACCTTTTAACATCTAATGTCGCATAAGCTTGGACATTATTGTCTCTATCCTATTTGCACTCATACACCAACAATTTTAGTTCAATTGGGAGGGCAATTTAAGAATAAACTCCCCCTTATCCATCTCCAAGGGGAGTGTCTACCTGCAACAGTGTGTGCACTCCTTTGTAGGGGCAGCTATAGTAATTCAATATCCTCTTCCCAGACAGAAAGCCGAAACATGCAGTTCCATTGATGCAGAGTGCAAAAAAGATGACATAACAGTAATGACCTTATTTACAGTTGTACTACCATGGATTTTCTTTGGATGAAGACATAATGGTACAACAGGAATTCAGCAATTGCTTGGATCATAAACTTTTATTTTTAAATACCCAAAATTAGATCAGATTCAATGAATTCCAAAACTGTTGAACTGGGACTAAAATTTTACACAGGAAAGTTATAGCAACAAACAAACCCTCCAAAGATTTCTAAATGCAGAGGGAGATAGTCTACATTAGCAGCCTCATCAGAACAACCTAAGACATAATTCCATACACTTCTGCATTCATACGTGACTACTTCTGCCAGCTATTCAACAGTTTCTTTAGTTCCATAACTATCCCCAACAGAACCAGATGTCCATGTCAAAAAGCTTTATTTGTGTTCAGTGTACCAATTCAACATCGAAGGCAGGGTTCGATATAAAATGAATTTAGTGATCTCTTGAAATTAAAGCTGCCACTGGCAATATCTAATAACTTACAGTATAACATAAAAAAATCTACACAGAAGAAGAGAATTTAAGCATCCTTATTACCTGAAGATAATGTTTCTCTCTCCAACTGTGCAGAAAAACTCTGTAATCAAAAGTAAACGACTTCCTGAGTTACTCAATAATAAAGTTGTTCAAGACAACATAAAGTACAACAAATCCAATAACCTTACATCCACATTATAAATGAAACATGGACAAGGTAAATGTATAAAGGTAAATATATTGCAAACTGTGACCAACAAAGTAAATACTATTCATGATCAGATAGCCATATAAAAACAAAGTAACAAGCAAGCATCCATTAGCCACTGTATAACGAAGGAATATGATATTGAATTGCTAGATGAAGTGTTCCAAATGAAAGCCAACTTGTAAATTTTAAATATTTAGCACAATGAAATCAACACCATTAATTCTTTGATGCCAGAGCTTAATGGTAAACTGAAGGAAGCTGCTAGTATCCATTTTGAGTCATTGATTGTTAAACAGATACACATTATTACAATGCTTAAGGCACATTGAATCTTATTTTGGCTGGAGAGAACTAATTCGCTTGGGAAGAGGGTAGAGGGAACACAGGACACAAATTATCCATGCCAAAACCAATTTAGATGCCCAACCTGGTACTTTCTCAAGCAAAGTTCTCCTTTCAGTTAATTAAAGTAGATATTTCATTGGTCATTAGACAACTAAGTCTAAATTGTTCTACCACTGACTAAGTCTTAAAATCATTAAGAGGTGTTAGAAATAGGATAGCTACCTTGACAATTCCATGTTTAAAACATGACTCCAAGGTGATAAGGTTAAGATTAATGGCTGGTTTGAAGCAACAAAAAAATGAACAAATTGACATTCATAAACAAATAATTTATAAAAACTTTAGGCTTACAAATGAATCACCAAAGGCCTCAACAGCATGGAGTCGTTCTTCATGCATGTCTTCTGTCATGAGCGGTGCATTCTATAATAATTCAAAGAAAAAGACAACTGCTATGTTAAACATACTTAGTTGGAGATTATTTAGTGAAAAGAAAATAAAAGAATGATGAATAATGCAGAGATATAAGAGAAACCTGTGTGAATGGAGCATGCAAGCTCTGACATGATTTCAGAAGCTTCATAGACCCTACAGGACCAGCTGAGCCTCTTCTGATAGAATCTGAAGGGCTTTTATCAGCAGAACACACGTCTTGAGAATTTGTACTAAACTTTGATACAACTGTTTTAGATCCATTAAAACCTTTTGGAGTCAAGGGACTGCAAAAAAACAAAAAGTTCTCATCATGTTTTTATTATAATTCTAGTCCAAAGTAAAGGATGCAGCAATCTATTGCACATGCAGTGGCAACTGCTGACATTGTTTCATGAACTGATAAATTAGTTCTCTCATCTCTATTTCATTGAAGATTTCAAGAATTATAATAACTTACTAATTACTGTGATATGAAAAAAATATTACCAAATACATCTAAATGAACCTTCCAACTCAGGCTCCATAGCTAAATTCTAGCCATGTGATGAGCCAGCTTACATAACTGACAAAGTTGAATTAAAGAGAAGCCGGCATCTCATACATCATTTAAAGCAAAATGGACCACCTAGTCCAACAAGGTGCTTCGCTGTGTCATTGACATCATACTCACTGCCCTGTCATTCTGTCCATCGCAACTAGCAGTACAACAAAGCCAACTACTTCATAATTATGTGACTTGCATTTGTAGATGACATTAGAAGCACACTTTCTTACTCCATCGTCTAAACTTTAAAGCATTTTTTTATGGCTTATAAGCTATAGGTATCTCAACCTTACTAACTCTATAGGCAGAGAATGAAGGCACTTTAATGGGTGTCATCATAAGGATAAATCAAAATGGATGGACTAGAGGCCAAATAAGGATTAATATCTCGTAAATAAGAACAAGAGAAAAAGCGGAGAATAAAAGGATTTGGCAAAGCCATTAAGGACAGAAAAGTTTTATGAAGAAACCAAAGAATGCTCACTTGCTTAGTTCACCTGTCACTTTTGCCATCAAAGCCTTGACTCTGAGCATGAAAACTAGTAGACTTCTCTCCAGCTTGAATGTCTTCCTGCATTTTCCGTCAAATGAAGACTTCAAGCCAAAGACAAGATGAAGAACTACGTCCGTAAGGGAACAAGTTGAATAGATAATGTAAGAAAGAGAGAGGGTTGAAAGCAGGAAAAGACTAAGGGCTAGGCCCCTTTTTCTTGCCTTCCACCTCGCCTTGTTCACTACCAATACAATAAGCACTAGGAGTAGTTAAGGAACAAGAGAAGACAAAAGGTAGTCATGACCTCCATATGTGAAGATGCATCATCATTACTTCCAATACAGTCTTCAAATTCTTCATATAGTTCATGCTTCTTCTCAATACATATTGCAAGCTGACCAGTAAAAGGGCAAAGTGAAATAATTCAATGGCCGTCCTATTGCTTTAAGGAAAAAGAAAAGGTGAAAATATAAAAAACAACTAATTACATAAATAAGTTAAGATGCTTCAGAAACAAATCCCTATTAGAAGAAAAAAAACTATAGGCAAAACAGGAACATACAAGTTCTTGACTGCAAGGTGCAATCAAGGTCATTTTCTATAGGTCTAAGCTTGGACTGCACTATAGCTCTGTAAATCACATTACAGTATGCTCCCATTCAATGTAACTGAAGGCTCTCAGGATTAAGAAAACCATTTTACTAAAAAGCTAGCAGATATTTTTGAGCAGCAAAGATAATTCAGAAATTTGCCAAGAGTTCACAAAATAATCGCATGACAAATAAAGCTATATTTTCTTCAGTTTCCCCTCCAACTTTAATAAATTGAATTAAGTTCACAAGATAGTGAAGTATGACAAAATTCTAAAGTCTTAAAATTAACAATATAAAAGAATGTAAGTGAAAGGAATTAAAATAGAAAGAAGACAACAATTAAAAAGCATCATCCAGCCAGAAAGAGAAGTCAATAATAAAAGCTTGACACATGTATCTCAGTTCATTTGAAAGTCCTACATTTCCACCAATATTAAGTATTAACTGACTTTACTTGATACGTATTCAAAAGCTGTCCAACACTGATCATTAGATTTTATTACCATTTGTAATTTCTGGTTGATTAAACAAGTTGCAAGGTCAATTGAACCATTGGCTGGCATTTTAGGCAATGGCTGTGACTCTTCCCAACACCAACGAATTTCTCGAACAAACTCTATCCAGAGCACAGCAATGGCTAAATACACAAGGAAAAAAGCCAACATTTAGTCAAGGAAAATGTTACAAAGTTAACTACAGATAAATTACTCTCGATACAGTTTATCATGTAAGATTTTCATACATACCACGTATGCTACAATTCCCAAACCATAATGAGCGTAAACAAAACTGCGCGAAGAGAGACTCAACAGGTGCACCTTTAATAGCTCGAGAACTCTTATGTTCGCCTTTAGCAAAATCAGGTAATTGGAGACCTTTCATAAAAAAATTAGAAAGAAACAAGAGAACTTTAAACAAGATGTTCTCCCTTGAAAAGTTATATGTCAAGACAAAAAATTAGTACTCATAGCAAGATGTAAAGTTAGATACTAAGGCCTAAAACTCAATTGAAAATCTTTTGAATAAGAAACTACTTAAGCATGTAAGCCAAGTCGACCATGTCTAATGCAGCCTTACCCACTCATCTTCACCTCTAATAGCCAAAGAGAGACCATTTTTTTTTTTGGGGCGTGGGTGGGCACAAAAGGAGCATTTGCTTATTTCTATCAAAAGATACTGAAATTAAGATGGTAACTTAAGCCAGAGCAGTAAACATCAAGACTGTAAATAAGCACATAGAAAGAGAGATATAAAGCATGCAACAGATCCTTAGAGGTATAACACATCAAAGCGCTTGGTAAAATGGAAAAAACTACCTTCATGGAAGAGATCATTAACCACACGTTCAAGGACCGTTGGTGGCGGTATAACCATAGAGGACTTTAAATTGTCTGAACCAGGGTTTTCAACTGCATGAAATAAATGCATGGATTAGAAAAAATTTTAGACAATTTAAAATAAAATTTCCAGGTAACTTCAACACAGTCTGCAGCATAATATATATGCCAAGATGCAGATAAAGCTATTGAGACCTGAAACAAAGTCCTCCATAAATTGAGCTTCAAATGGCATATCCAGTGCGTTAACCAAAAGCTGCAACTGGGAACCGAATCCAACTCTGTCTCCTTTTGAACTATCACTTCATATAAAAATTAATATAATCAGATGTATCACCTGACAAAGATATTAAGAAACTGACGAATCAAAGGGACCATAAAAACAAGAAGGTAGTCGAATTTGCAGAGGGATCAATCAATACTTCAGGAAAAAAATAGAACCCATAATACAAATTCCTTACAGATTTGGAGACAAATTTGGCACTAGAATCCACTTCTCAGCTTCATGGGGTGAGGCATTTTCCAATTCAGCCATTTCAAAGGAGCTTTCGACCACCTTTTCAGACCAAGTGGTCACTAAATCAAATCCTACATGCATCGAATCCATCAAACCAGTGTCCACCAGCAATGCATAAAGAAAAAGCAGACCTCAGAGCTTCTACCAGCTCAGAAACATTGCAAGTCATCTAGAAGGCACAATTGTCTACCTTTCTCCACTGAATAAAGAAAAATGAGTATCAAAAAACATAAGCTTACCCGTCACAGGATCTTCTGCAGAATACCACTCACTCCAAGGGCAATCATCATCCCAAAGCTTCTTATTGCGATTATCATCGCCCAGACTCACTTCAGATTCTACATTTTCAGCATCAGCTTCTTGGATATCATCGTCCCCTTCGTCATCATTGGGAAGGGTTCGATAGGTGAGTTTCATTATAAGATGTACTTTGAAAATATGCATTGAATGGTCCAATGTAGAGTAAGCCTTCAAAAATAGATAACCAATTAGTATTACTTCATAAAGATAAGAGCATAAGGTCAATGTGGATGCAAAACATTACAAATTCTGATGTAAGCACTCTTGCACAAACAAGGGGAAAGGATAATTTGAGCAGCACGATCATATCCAACACTAAACTAAATTTCAGCTGTATCAGTTAAGATAATTAACATGAAATTAAAATGCTAGTTAAGAAGATCCGATGTCATCTTACTGTCATAGTAATAATAATAGACCTATGTTAAACATAAAAAATCAAACAAACACTATAGTTTGTGAGCTTGGAACAATGTGAAGGTTTTTAATAAATAATGAGGGAACTCACAAACTTAGAAACAAACAACTCATACAATCCTTCCAGATGCATGAACTTTATGGGAACCTGGCTACCAATACGATCTGCCTCAAACCTTCTAGTAAAAACTGTTCCCATATTTTGGATTCCAATAAAAGCCTTTCTTGAAGGGTCATGGACGGGGACAAATGCTGGCCACAAACTGCAGTACCAAAATGTATATAAAAATTTCAGATCCAAAGTTATTAGTAATATTCAATGCAACAGATATACCTATGGCATATGGTACAAATATGAATAATAAATCTAACATAACGCTAACATGAAATAACTGTGTAAACCATAGTATCAAAATAATCTTTTAACAATTAATAACACCACGTGCTGGTATGTTAAAACCCAGAAGATCAAAGAGGCGTATATGCTATGCTACTTCAAACAAATTTCATGGTAGCATTTTTCAGTCAGAAACCACCTTGAACAATTTGACAAAGCGATTGCAACAGCACTTAAAAGCTTGCTAGCCTCTGGCGCATCAAGAACAACACCGCTGGCACTTTGAGGTGAAATCACCTGCTAGGTGCAAAGGCAGCTAAAGCATCAGATAACATTATACAACAACAGTCTACTCAAGAAGACTATTGAAAACAAAGGAAGGGACAGCACGAGATGCCCGAGCATACCAAGAATTCTTTTACTCCAAAGCAAAGCTGCAAATCATGCAAAGTGCAATTCCAGTCAGCAATTTTGCCTGTACCAATCAAAACGCAAGTCAAAAAACATAAGTTCAAACCATGCTAGGTCAATGATTAACCCATAAAAGCTTTTTTTTTTTTAAGTACCAGTATTGTTGATTTCAAAGTAGTACTCCATGGAATAGATTTTCGCAGCATTTTTCAACTCAGATTTGACCTTATATATGATCTTAGAGGAATCCAAATGAACAGCTCCCTTTTCCTACAAGATAAATTGGAGAGGAAATCTGCTTTTATTTTAATGTGATCATGATCTTCACCTGCGTTCCTTATTCATATTTCTAAAACAAAATAGCACAAAATATATACATTTTGAATAAAACAAGTTTTCTGAAATCCAAGAATGCGTACCAGCAAATTCTTTGGACCATCAGCTAACCACTGCCGACACGTAGCCTCTATTTCAGATATGAACCTAAAAATACGACAGAAAAATCAGTAATATCAAATTTATAAAGTAAAAAAAGGAAGAAGAATGGATGTGAAAAATGTTATATCATTAAACACCTTTCCCATGAAGAAGCCAGAGTGAAATCATCGAAGTGTTCAACCTGCATCAATATCCAATAAACTTTACATTTTCAAAAAAAAAAAAAAATCAAAAGAAGTTCAAATTGCTTTCTGATTTTTCTGACTAAAACTTTGAAGTTTGAAATCTAAAACAGGAAAAGCAAAAGAGGAGAGTTGTGAATAAAGTACTTCCTCTTCTTCATATTCTTCTTCAGTTAAATTGGCTTTGCTTGAAGATGCCATACTCGGTAAATCAGCTTGAAATTTTGCTTCGAAGGCGAATCGGCGGTGGCTACGGAAAATTCATCTAAATCAATCGTCCAGAAGAAGAGTAATCTCAGTTTCGATTGAAAGAGAGTTTCAAATCTGAAATTTGAATTAATCAATGGGCATTGAGAAGGAAAATAAATCATATGAGGGTAAAGGAAGGCTATAGTGAAATAGAGAGATCTGGTTTTTACCAGGTGAGACAATTAGATTCTCCCAAGGAAATTTAATTCGCCTAGGTCCCGAAAGTCGAATACGAAAGTTTTGTGAAATTAATTTAACCTCCCTTAAAATATTCATATTGACAAATTTTGCCTATCTTTAGTTAAAATTATAAATTTGTCTCTCAACATTGCCGGTCTTACCAATTTGGCACATCTACTTAAGGATGTAAACAAATTTATAGGAACGAACTTTGTTATATTAGTGATTTGTTTGTTTAATTAATTAATTATGAAATATTATTTGTAATCATTTGTTAAATTTTATCGAAATCAAATTTGTTCATAAATTATTTATTAAATAATTTATTAATTTTTATAAATAAATTAAATATGAACAAAACTTATTATACTTGTTTATCTATTTGTTTAATTAATGAATTTTAAAATATTATTTGTGATATTTATTAAATTTAATAAATTAATATAAATAAAGAATAAATTTATTCATAATTATTTATAGATGTTATGTTCATTTACAATGACAAAAAAAAAAAAAAACAGACAATAATCACGGTTTACCAAATTTCTTTTACACCATTCTAAATCAATAATTGAACCTACTAAAACTACTATGTATCCCCTTTTCCTATTTAATTTACTGTTTAATATCCTTAAATTATTGACTGATTTTGCCTTTATTCATTTACATTGTTATATCTGCAAATTCGAAAAAACAAATAAGGTGGTTACTTAGTAATTGTTTACCAACATGACTGGTCATGCATTTGTTGACTTGAAACTACGGTTCATTCGTTCATCTTATCTTGATTTTATTTATGCATTTTTATTTTAAATTGTTGTGAGATTTATGTTTCAATTCAATTTTGATTAGTTTTCATGATATCTTGCTGTTATTTATGCATTTTGTATTATAAATTATCGTGAGATTTATTATTTAACATCAGGAGGTTTAATTTTCTACTAATGACCTTAAAGAATTTATTTTAGAATATAAGTTGATAAATATGAAAATTGTATATGTGATAGTATCTAATTTGATCATAGTATCAAATATATATATATATATATTTTTATATAAAAGCTATCATAATTTAAAGAGAGAATAAGATGTTGTAAAATTTGAGATTTAATTTATTAAAATATTTTTAAAAAATAATTATTTAAATTAATTAAATTTAAATTTAAATTCGACATCAAATATATTTATTTTTGAATAAAACGATAATAAACCAATTCAATTTAAACTTTATTATAATAGGTTATTGATTTCCGATGCGTGATAAATTCAAATATTATGTACGTACTACCCATGAAATGCTTAACGTAATAACATGCGCAACATTTCAAGTCCATGATATAATATGGAGTTGACTGTTATAAAACTTTAATGCTATTTTTAATTTAGATAAATGTATGTATTGATTATTTATGTGACATGCTCAAAATTCATTTTAATTCTAACATGTATTATCTAAAAAACAGCTAATGACATGATATAAAATCAATCAGTTCTAAACTATATATAAGATAGTATTTATTAAAATAAACAAAAGTAAAAAAATCAAAGCACTAGCTTTATGGGCCATAGGAGTTTTACTCTTTTTTATCAGCACCTTAATACGCATGCCGTTTTAGTCTCTATTTTACGGGTTCGGATGTCGCTAAGTGCTAGTCAAATAAAGCCAGATTGTAAATATTCCAAAATGTAAAATGTAAACCATACCTGCCGGTCTTTATTGATTGATCATTTACGTAATTTAGTGACCAAAAAAAAGGGTAATTCAACGAAAGAAATGTTTGGACAAACAAATACCTAAGCGAAAGAAATCAATATTTGTTATTGAATGCTTTCTTGGAGGCATAAATAATTGTGACATAGTCGAATCCTTAAGTAACCAACACTGAACATTTGTTTTTCTTTTTAAAATAAGTTTTTTAAATAAAAAATTGTAATATAACAATAAAAAAAATAAAAATTAAGATTTAAAATTTAAATTTATTAAATGTTATTTTTTAAAATAATTTAATTAAATAAGTTAAATTTCAAAATTTTATTTTAATAAAAAAAAGAACTGAAAAGCTATAGATGGACTTTAAAAAATTTTCTTTATTCGAAGAAAAATCATGGTAAATGGTAAATTTACTCGAACTTACAAGATTATATAAAATGTGAAAAAGTGTTAGCATCGCATGCACTTGGTACACACCAAAATGATTACAGCCATTCATCATTCAACCAATGTGCAAAACTCGCGTGTATGTGCCGCCAACGCAAACGCATTATTGACCATCAAACGACGACGCATCGGGATCATTTACCTTTGGTTTCCGTACGCCGCGCCACGTGATTCAACCCGAGTAAACTTGTCATCCTCTCCTCTCTCTCAAAAAATGGAGAGAGAGAGAGAGGGTCGCTTGCACAGACCCAAAACCCTAAGCGAGGGAACACTTTTTTTTGCAAGTCCATAAATGCCCTTCCCTCATTCTCCTTATATCAACCACTCGAACCTTCCCATTCTCTTCTTCTTCTCACAGAACTTGAACGATAAACGTACTGAAAAAGAATTTTCATCGCTTAAATCTCTTTCGTTCTTTGGCTCAGATTCTTTTCTCTTCTCAATCAGAGTCCTAATCGGTAAGATTTTTTTTTATAAAATTTGTCGTTATTTTAATTGCTTAAATAAGAATAAAGAATAATCATGTTAATATTAGGGTTAGGATTTACCGATATTTGTTGAGTTTTTTATTGAAACTTGAAATGAAATGTTTGAGATGGATGATGATAAGAAATTGCTTACATTTGTGCCATTGACGGTAGTTTGTGGGGGGGGGGGTTGTGGCTTTTTGGACAGTTTACTGCACTATATGCTTCCTAGAAAGAGAGCAGGTGGAGAGGTTGTAGAAGGAGAGAGTGAAAACAACAATAACGGCAACAACTTAAAAGACGTCGCCCCTGTCACACCGCCGATCAAGAAACATCGCATCTGTGCCACTGCTGCCACTGAGTCGACGGCTAATAACAACACCGTGACCATAGGGAACAATAGCAGTAACAACAGTAGCAGTAGCGTGGTCGAGCCACCGGTCATGGCTCCCGGTGACGCGAATCACAATGATATAGATGAGGATCTGCACAGCCGGCAGCTTGCCGTGTATGGCCGCGAGACCATGCGGCGGCTTTTTGCCTCCAATATCCTCATCTCTGGGATGCAGGGTCTCGGTGCTGAAATTGGTACTGATTTCCTACTTTCTTTAATTTTTCTCTTTCTTGTGTTTTTGAAAATGAATCTCGTGTTCTTTTGAAATATAAATTGACTCTGTTGTTTCTATGTTTTCTTTTTTGGCGTTCTTTAACAATGTGCTTTTGTGCTGCATGATGACTGTGACTTTTGAGGTTTTAATTGCATTAATGCAGAATTATGTTTTGTATTATCGTTGTTTGAAGTTAATTATGGCTTCGTTGGTCGACAATTAGTTCAATGCTGTTGTTAATAGCGTTCTGAGATCTTAGGGCAAAACCCTCTATCTTTTTCTTGTTTTGTAATATGTAGTAAAATAATTGTATAATTTTTATGGATTATTATCTTATACATTGGCCATGGAGTTTAATAACCACACAGAGGGTTTATTACTTGCCATGTGTCCATCTACTAATGAATAAAGAAACTGAATTATTTCATTAATTTTAAATGAACATGTCACAAACATATACACCCACATACATGGAGTTTATGAACTCTGCTCCAGAGTATGGTTTAAAAACCCTTAATTTGATTTGAATTTAATATCCATATTGTTAAGTTTGTGATTGCCAGTTTTTGCTTGCTTCAATGTCACTTTTGCTTTCTGCAGCAAAGAATCTCATTCTTGCCGGTGTCAAGTCTGTGACCTTGCATGATGAAGGAGTAGTTGAGTTGTGGGATTTGTCCGGTAATTTTGTTTTCTCTGAGGATGATGTTGGTAAGAATAGGGCACTTGCTTCTGTTCAGAAGTTGCAGGAGCTAAACAATGCTGTCGTCATTTTGACCTTAACAACAAATTTGACCAAAGAACAACTTTCTAATTTCCAGGTATTTCCTTCACATTAAGTTACTTATTGATGGATCTAGTACTTTGCTTATGTACTAACTACCAAGTTTAGACTTTCTGTGATGTTTTTTTGTTAGTATTGAATTCTAGCGTTGGGGATAAAATGTAATTTGACAACAATTTGTTCAACTAGATTTCCTATTAGACCAGAGACTACAGAATTTGGACACTTGGAAGAATAAAATTTAACTACAAAATTCTGCTTGAGTGGTCATAGCTCCCTCTGTGTTCTCTCGTGTTATGCATTTTGCCTGTCATCTTGTATTCAGTTGGTTACTTTCTCACTGGTGCAGGCTGTTGTATTCACTGATATAAGTCTTGAAAAAGCCCTTGAGTTTAATGACTACTGCCATAATCATCAGCCTCCCATTTCCTTCATCAAGACTGAAGTAAGAGGCCTTTTTGGAAATGTCTTTTGTGACTTTGGTCCTGAGTTTACTGTTTTTGATGTTGATGGGGAGGAGCCACACACGGGTATAATTGCATCCATCAGCAACGACAACCCTGCCCTAGTATCATGTGTAGATGATGAAAGGCTCGAGTTTGAGGATGGGGATCTTGTCATGTTCTCTGAAGTTCAAGGAATGACAGAACTCAATGATGGAAAGCCACGAAAGATTAAAAGTGCAAGGCCATGCTCATTTACTGTTGAGGAGGACACCACAAATTTTGGTACGTATGTGAAAGGTGGCATTGTCACACAAGTGAAACAGCCCAAGGTGTTGAATTTCAAGCCATTGAGAGAAGCTCTTAAAGATCCTGGCGATTTTCTTCTGAGTGATTTCTCAAAGTTTGACTGCCCACCTCTCCTGCACATAGCATTCCAAGCACTGGATAAGTTTATTTCTGAATTTGGTCGATTCCCTATTACTGGATCAGAAGAGGATGCTCAAAACTTGCATCTATTGCTGCTAACATCAATGAGTGCCTTGGAGAGGGAAAGCTAGAAGATATTA